TTACAACCTGGAGCCTTTCTGCACTTGTAGTCTACTTAGCCTATAGGGCCCTGAACATGCAGTATGATCCAGCCCACAATGGCCTGCTTTTTCCTCACATGACATTCCTGTCTCCTGGTTCCTTGCCTTAGCAGGAGTGGTCCTCTGTGCCTGGAATGCACTCCCTCCTCACCTCTGCCTCTTGATATCAGACTTCCTCCAAGTCTCAGCTCAAGTACCCCTTTTTGGCATCTCCCCAGTCACTTGAGCCTACCTTCCGCTCTAAGTCACTTTCCTTCTGCTTAGCATATGTCTTATATGTATCTTTGAATTTACATTGTTTCTCCCCCATTAGTATGTAAACTTCTTGAGGCAAGAATGATGTTTGTGTTTTTGTTTTTCTTTGTTTCTCCAGTGCTTGTCATAGTGCCTGCCATGTAGTAATTGTTTACTAAATGCTTGATTGATTGATTGAAGTATGGATTGGACTAAATGACTTTCCAGGTCTGTTCTGAGATTTTGTGATTATAGTGGGCATTGTTAGAAGGAGGGCAGACACCAATATGAACCTGGATCCTTGGAATGATCCAAGTTTCCCAGCTTATAGGGTGAGAGTTGGTGTTTTGCCAAGGGAAAGCCAGTAGGCATTGATTTGAAACTGTTGTCTCTCTGCCCTATCTGGGCTAATCTGGACATATTGGATCATAGGGATGATGTGACTACCACGACTCGGATTTATCTGGGAAGATTCTCTTAATCCTCTTGTCAAGACAGGGGCTTCGCTTGTTTCTAGGTCATCCATGTCATCATTCAGAGATCTGGAAAGTTTGTGGCTCTTCTAAGTGATTAATCACATTCTGGGGATTTTTACCAGGCAGAAGCTCCATGGGAGGGAGGATCAAATAGAAACTCCTCTGCTTGGCATTTAAACTTATTTATCACCTGACTCCTTCCTACCTTTCTAGTATGCTTACCTTTTATTCCCCTCCCTGCACACAATGAGCTACCTACACTGCCCTGCTTGCTGTTCCTCAAGCACAATATTCTCATCTCTCATCTCCATGCCTTTACAACTGTTTCCCGTGTCTGAAGTATTGTCCTTCTTTATCTCCACCTTAGATTCCCTGGCTTGTTTCAAGCCTCAGCTCCAGTCCCACTTTGTGTAGGAAACCTGTTCATTCCCTCAGCTGCAGTATCTTCCTCTCAGATATAACCTCAGTATATATCAGGACAGGGGCTGTTTTTGCATTTTTTTATATCCTGAGTGCTTAGCAAAGTGCCTGGTCTATAGTAAGCTTGTTGACTGGCTGACTGACCAGATCTGATCCGATCTGAATGTTTCAATGCTCTGTGAAAGACAGCTAGCTCTAGTCAGGAATTTGTAATAAGCCTGGATCCAGGTTGGAACCAGATTGTGAAACCCTTTAAATGCTAAACAGAAGAGTTTGTATTTGATCCTTCAGACAATAGGGAGTCACTGGAGTTTTTTGAGTGATGGGAGGTGGGGTGGTAATATGGAGGGGAGGAGTTGACATGGTCAGATCTGTACATCAGAAATATTCTTTTGGCAGTCATGTGGAGGAGACAGACTTGAGGAAGGAAGATCAATTAGTCTTTTATAGGGGTAATAAGGACCTGTGATGGTGGTTAATTTCATTGTGGGTCTTCTCCCCACTAGTGTAGATTATAGTCGCTTTGTGTCTTTGTGGATGGTCTTCATGACTTACTGTGACCCCAAGAGTTCATGAACCCTGTGGAAGCAGGCTTAAGATCACTTAGGCTGGTCTTCATTTGACAAGCAAACCCTGCCCATTGCTAGGACTATATATGAAGCCCTTATAGCTTGGAAGGACCTGCTTCCAAAGTAGGTCTTTGTACTAGACTGGCATAGTCTGAAAGAACCCAGCGTTACCTCCAAGCCACACTGAGACACTGGAAGAGTATATCAGAGGGCGCGTATATCTTGGATTTTTGGATTTAGTAAATGGTTTATTAAATTGATTTGAATTGAATGCTAAGGGAGAAAGATGGACGATGCAGGACAAGTTGATGTCCTTGGTTAAACCTGCATTACAAGTGGCACCAAAAAGGCCAAGGGGAAAGGTCTTAAGGTTTGTCATGTAGGAAAACACATACCTCATATCTGGAATAATGGGTCTACCCTCTAGAATACCCTAAGAGGTATCACTATAGCTGCAATTGGGGAATGGTTGGGGTGGGAGGGTCATTTTGTACAGACTGAGGAAAAGGTTATGGGATAGGAGAAGAGTAGTACCTGGAAATCCAAACTCTGACTCTCTCATGGCACCCCAACAGCCTCAAGTTGACATAGGTGAGATATTACTGTATTATAGTCTTTAGAGCTGAATAGGACCTCAGAGATTATCTAGCCCAACTCTTCCCAGCCCTCAGTTATACAAATGAGGAGACTGAGATATGCAGAAGTAAAATCACTTGCCCAAGGTCAAGCACTTTATATAGATTACCTTATTTTAGCTTATGAAGTAGGTCCTGAAGGTATTGTCTTTTTTTTTTTTATGAATGGGAAAACAAAAGCCTCTTAGGTTAAGTAACCTGCTCACATTCACATAGTTAATAAGTATTTGAGACAAAATTTGGAACTAGGTTCTCTGATTCCAGGTCCAATGGTTTTATCACTTATGGCCTCCTGGCCCTCAGTAACAATTGTTGCCACTTGTGATTGACCTCACTCGGTTTCAGGGCACACTAGAACTGTGGGTGAGTTTTTTAGAGACAGGGGCATTTGGTGGTTTGACCACACAGGTGACCTGGGACTTGTTAGCCTTGCCATGAAGTGCCATCTGTTCCCCACAGCCCACAGGGCTGGGCCTCAGGTAATTCCCTCCTGCCACAACTCAGTTCATTCATTCATCCTGTTTATCCCCTGGAAAGAAATCTTTGCTGACAGTGGCTTTTACCTCCTTAAAACATCTGTTACAACCACAGGCATCATGATAAGAGTACTAGACCTGGAACCAGGAGAGCCCTGGGTTTGAATTGTGGTTCTGATACTGTACTATCAATTTAGTGTGTGATTTTGAAAATGCTATTTTGTGTTTCTTAACCTCAGTTTCCTTACTTGTAAAATGGGAGTAATACCAGTACTACCTACATCATAGGATTGTTGCCTAGAAAGTGCTTCATAATTCTTAAAATGTTGTATCAATGAAAGTTCATGTAATTATTAATCTTTTCAGTCTTCAACTTCAGGAATCATTGATGAGATCTGGAAAGGAATGTGGAAAAATGGGGCAAATTCTGGTCAAAGAAGACCAGACTGTGAATCAACCTGGACTCAGTTTCCTCATCCATTAACATGGGTATAATGATGATTATACTTCCTATCTTTTACAGGGTAGTTGAGAGGAAGGTGCCTTGTAAACTGCAAAGCAAGAGAGAAATGTGGGTTACTGTTATGAACTGGAACCTCAGGCTCAGCTGTTTTGCAGTCATTAGAGTCCCACATCAGGCAGGTTCCAGGAGATTAGACCGAGAAGTGTGGAAAGCTCCCAAAATAAACCTGTCTCAGGCTCTTGAAAAAGCTTCTGTCAGAGTAATGTGGTGATTGGATATACTTGTGTGTGTTTTTGTGTGTTTCTGTCTGGGTGGAGGAAATAGTCTCCTTTGTCTTTTTCTTCCAGTCAGGCTTAAAGTCTTTAGTGCTATGAAGATCACTTATATTTCTACAGTGGGAAGAAGTGGGTGGAGGACAGGCTTTGGAGTCAGAAACCCCTGAGTTCGAACCTTACCTCTGCCACATTCTGGCTGGGTCACCGGGACAAGTCATTTGACCTCTCATTGTCCCAGGTAGCTCTCTTCAGACTCTAAGTCTTAGAAAAGTGTCCAATCTGCATTGCCAGAAGGAGTTCCTCACCTAGAGTTCCCCATTTTGATGAAATTACAAGCTAGGTATGAGAAAAAATTATGTAGTGCAAGACAGAAGTACAGGGAATGGTCTAGAGGAACTGAATTCAAATCCTTGCTCTGTTGTGTGACCTTGGGCAAGTCATGGGAAATTTCTGAAGCTCAGTTTCCTCATCTGTAAAATAAAGATAATTATACAGGATGATGTAGTGGAAGGTGCACCAGATTTAGAGTTAAAACACTTGGATTCAAATATTGCTCCTGTCATTTATTCCCTGGGTGTTCCTGAACAAGGTGATTCACCTCCAGGAGCCTGCATATGTAAAACTATATGGACTAAGTGTCCTTTAAGACACCTTCTTTAAAGTCTTAAATTCAATGGTCTGAGCAAGTGGAATCTAACTTGTATCATGGAGGTCACAGGATCATTGTGGGGAAAGTGTTTGGTAAGCCTTAAAGGATTCTATAAATGTGAGTTGGTTTTTGATTATGATGGTGCCTTCCAGAGTGCTCCTAGGTATGTTAACTCATCTATTCCTCATGACAGCCCTATGAGGTAAGTGGTGCTAATGTTATTATCATTATTTTACAGAAAAGGAAATTGAAGCCTGTTGAGAGGAAGCCACTTGCTCAGGTTTAGTGGTGGACATCTGAACTTTTAGTTCTATGCACTTTCCCCTACTCCATGCTGCTTCTGGCCATCCCATCGAGTCAGATTCAGAGATAATAGCTAACAATGATATAGTGCTTTAAGGTTTGCAAAAGACTTTCATCTTACCTCATTTGATCCTCACACAACCCTGTGAGGTAGGTGCTATTTTCATCCCTGTTTTACAGATGAGGCAACTGAGCCTGAGAAATGCTAAGTAACTTGCCCAGAATCACACAGCTAGTAAGGGGAGAAGGGGAAACAGGCTCGCAGAGGAAAGCTACTTGCCCCCAGGAGATTATCATCCCCATTTTATAGATGAGAAATTAGGCTCATGAAGTTTGAGGTTACACAGGTGTATAAGAGGCAAAGCTAGGATTCCAATCCAGGTCCTCTGACCCTTTGTCCATTCAGTGTTCTTTTCCATTATATCAAGTTGCCTTCTTTACATTGTGTTTACACTTAATTTTTCACTTTCTGTTTTCAGAGTCGCCCCAAGAAAGGTCGGGGCAGCGGCGCACCATGCCCAGCAACCTCTCGGATAGGAGCCCCAGCATGGAGCCTTCAGCTACGACACCGTTCCGAGTAACGGTAACTATCTTTGTGTGACTGCAGTCCCTGCAGGACCTCTTTGTGGAAGTTTACATAACAGGGAATTTTTCTGGCCTCTCTTCATCTAGGTATCCATTCAATTGTTTCCCCAGAGCAGAGCCCCAAGTCCTACTGGCAGTGAAGTAAAGAGGAAAAAAAAAAAAGAGGAAAAAAAAAAACTCTCAGCAGGCAATGGGCCTGCTGTCAGAGCTGGGGACAATAGGGGCTACTCCCTGGACACTGAGCCCCATAGCCTGGTCTCCAGACCCAATAGACTCTGGGGGGTCTATCCTGATCTGTACTCCAAAGATGGCAAGGAAAGAAAAGTGAACAGGTTGGATTTTCAAATGTTTATATATTCTAGGCTAGTTGAACCCCTGAAGCTCATTTGTGAAAAGCAATATGCAGTATCACTCACTCTGGATCTGGTGTTTACAGTTAAAGAAATGGGCTCACTATGGGAAGATTTGTTCTATGAAAAGATGTAGCCAGAAAGAGCAGAGGGGACCCCCTCCTCTGCTAAGTGAAGGTGTTGAATTTGATGTTCTCTTAAGGTCCCTTACAGCTCTGGCATAGTCTGTTCTAGCATTTTATGCTCTGGGCTTTCATAGTCTGCCTAGTATTCTATGTTCCAAGATCTTTTTCAGTAATTATGTTCTGTGGTTATAACTGCCTCTTCCTTAGTCTTCTCTATTTGGCTTTTGTCATTGGCAGAGAGTTCTCAAGAAGGAACTTTGGGGGACGCAGGGATCTTGATTCACCTCCATTCAAAAAAAAAAATAGAGCCCTTTCACCACATCCCGATGTGCCCTTCAAGGACAAAAACAGAGCCAAAATCTACCAGGAACAAAAGTTTTGAAGTCTGGACCTTGGGACTAAACCTAAGGGAGACATGGATTTTCCCTCAAGGAGGCTGGGAAGGGAGACATCCTTAGCTACAAGTCTGAGATAATTTCTCTGTTTGGCATTTCTAGCACTGACACAGTATGACTCTCCCACCTTGCATTTGTATGGTAGTTCTGGCTTTCCCATCTGTCATCTCACTTCATCCTCATATCAACCCAGCGAGATAGGGAGGGCAAGAATTACTATCCTAATTTTACCAGTGAAGAAACCAATTTTGTGTCTTCTTCAAAGTCACCCAACAAAAGTCAATGGTGGATCATGGCCCCCAGCATCCCAACTAACAGCATAGTATTTTTCCTTTTACTCCCTCATTTCCTGATCTCACTCTCTTTCAAAAAGAGCACTGGACTTGGAGTCAGAAGACCTGGGTTTGAGTTTCACCACTGTGATTTAGGACCTTCCAGCGCACAATCATCCCTCCCCTTCTTACTACACAAGGCTTTTGTGTGGCTTATGAAAGTGCTTTGAAAGATCATCTCAGGGCCACAAAATCATGGCAACCTTACAGAGCCAGAAACTGAGGCCCCGAGCAGTTAAGTGATTTGCCAAGGATCACACAGATACTAAAGCAACAGAAATGGGATTCAAACCCAGGTCTCCTGAGTCTGAGTCTTGTACCCTTTCTCCTATCCCATAATACTTCTCTGTAAAGTTACCATGGTAAGGCATACCCTGAGTTGATGAGATTTCTTAGCCTCATCAAACTAACTGGTAATACCAGCTCAACAGGCTGGGCAATGGGATGGCAATAGGCCTAGAAATTCTGTCCCCAAACGACTTACTGATAAGCAAGGAAATGTTCATTTGTTTGTGGCCAGTGGGAAGATATTGTCTTTAATCCTTCCAGAATTCTGCTACCTATACACAGAGTTCCTAGAGCAACCTGGAATTCCCAGGCCAGCTACCTTTCACCAAAGCTCTGTGAAAGCCATCCCACAGGCCCAATTTGTACCAATTCACCCTTGGTCAATAATCTTGTCTCTTCTGCACTGTGATATTCCACTCCCTCCTCCCTACCCAGTGTTGAGTAGGGGAGGAGAGAAGTAAGAGGTTTTAGGGGGATTGGGGAAGGGTGCTTCTTTGCTGGAGGACAGAAGTAACATGATCCAGAGTCTGTAATGATCTGGCTTTGTTCCATTCAGATTTAGTTGCAGAGAAGCAAACTACTGTAGTTTTCTTAAAGAAAAAAAAATTTGAGTAATTTGCTTTCTTTGGGACTTTGTTTCCCCATCTGTGAAATGTGAATATTGCATTTGCTGCTCTCCAAAGACTTAGATGTTAATTGAAGGTTTTAGAGTATGAGGCAGAGAGGCCTCTAAGACTATCTTTTAAAAATAAAATTTTATTAATATGTTTTGTTTTCACATAACATACATTTCCATTGTTTTCCTCTTACTCACCCTTGCCAGAAAGCTAGTCCATATAACAAATAATTTTCTTAAAAGAAAAAAAAAGGGGAACAAAAAGCTATTAGCAAAACTGATCAATGTATCAAAGAAAGTCTGAAAATCTATGTATCATTACCCAGCAGTGGACCTCCCATTTCTGCAAAGTTGTTGGAAGAAGGAGGGTAGGGAGGTATGTGAATAATCATTAGTAATTGCTAGGATTTATATAGCACTTTAAAATTGACAAAGTGATTTACATATATTATCTCATTTGATCTTTATAACAAACCTGTCAGAAACATGCTAATATTAAACCCATTTTGCAGATGAGGAAACTGAAGCTAGCTAGAATGGTTAAATGAGAAAGAAGAAAAAGAGGAAATAATATTTTCACTACCCATGTTGCATTGGACTTTGTGAATCTCAAGTGAAATGATGAGTGGGAGAGAGCTTTGTAAACTGTACCAAATGTAATCGGTTATCATTATGATTGGAATGAGGTTCATTTTGTCTTTGGGCCCATACTATGAGGTATTCTCTCCCTCTTCTGTCTACTCAGCCCCAGAGAATTTTATTTTTGTTCGTATAAGAGACTTTTATTGCTGCCTCCATCCTAGCAGGAAAAGATGTTCCCATTGAACAGGAAAAATATAGCCAGCACCACCTTTTTTATTCTTGGGCAAGAAGGAATATGAGGAGCAAGAAGGAATATGTTTTTACTACTAGAAATGGTGGTGGTGGTGGTGGTGATGATGATAATGATGATGCCTCACATTTATACAGGCTGTCCCAAAAGTCTTATTGTAGCTTTAAGCTTTGTTATTTTAAATAACCTATATTAAGCTTTAATAGCTTAATATTGAACTAAACTGAAAACTGTACTAATTAAAGCTTAAAACTGCTCTAAGATTTTTGGGACACCCTGTATAGCACTCAAGGTTTATAAAGTGCTTTATATGCCTTATCTCTCTTGTTCATCAGTATAATCCTGTGAGGTAGATGCTATTATAGGATAGGTAGGTGGCATAATGGATACAGTGCTGGGCCTGGAGTCAGGAAGATTCCTCTTTCTGAGTTAAAATCTGACCTCAGACATTTACTAATAGTGTGATCTTGAGCAAGTCACTTAACTCTCTTTGCCTCAGTTTCCTCATCTGTAAAATGAGCTGGAGAAGGAAATGACAAACCACTCCAGTATCTTTGCCAAGAAAACCCCAAATGGGGTCACAAAGAGTTGGACACGACTGAAAATGACTCAACAACAACAGATGCTATTATCCCAACTTTTATATGTGGAGAAATTGAGAGTTGGTTTAAGTGATTATGTTTAGGGTCTCACAACTAATAAATAGCCAAGGCAGGATTTGAATCTAGGTCTTCCTGAATAAATCCAGCACTCTCTCTACTACACCCTAAGTTTTGGTAGTAACAGGATGATGATCAAATCAGTTAGGGTATCTGAAGCACTTTGCAAGTATAGGGTGTTATTGGTTAATCTATTTTCTTTAGAATGGGAGACTCCTGTACCTGAAGGTCCAAGGTCATAAGGCCAGGACTGAACTAAGAGGAAGTCCTGTCCATCTCTAAACATACTATTCTGTCCTCTGATTTTTCACAGGAGAACCTGCAGGTCTTTAGCAAGGAACATGCCTATCATGGTCAAAGTAGGGTAGGATATCCATTTTGGGAGAAGGAACTTGTTGGGGTCAGGTAGGCTGCTGTCAAGAATTTCCATTGTGAAGCCTTCCTGGAGCTTTTGACTGTCTTTGTAATGTGTGAGCAATGACACCAGTGTCTTGGAAGTGGCACTGAGCCCTTCACAAGCTAGCTCCAACTTGTCATTTCCAGACTGGTTTTATATGATTTTTCTTCATGCATTCTATATTCCAGCCAAACTGATCAACTTCCTTTTCCCTGTATCTCTTATTCTGTCTCCCATTTCCATTTCTTTGCACAATGCCTTACACATGATAAGCACTTAATAAATGCTTATTGAATTGAACAGAATGATGATTTTGACCTAGTCCTCTAGCTAATGACATGGTTATAATGTTCTGTTTCATGGTTTACCCAGTCCTTAGGATCTGGTGACCCATAGATGAGCATCTCTGGTATCCTAGGGGCAACCTGGTTGGTTAGTGTACTGTCATCCTTAACTTCTTTTATTGGTTCAGATGTTAGGGAGGAATTGGTGACATCACTACTCTGACAATCAGGAATCCAAGGTTCTGATCTCAGCTCTAGCAATAACTCTGTGATCTCAAGAAGTTTATTTTACTTTTCTAGACTTCCATTTCTTTGCCTGGAATCTGAGCAAAGCAGATCAGATATTCTCTAAAGGTGGCCTTTCAGCTCTCTCTCTCTCTGTCTCTTGTCTCTGTCTGTCTGTCTGTCTGTCTCTCTCTCTCTGTATATAAGTATATGTGTGTGTGTGTGTGTGTATAAATTTCTTTTCTCTCTCTACTATTCTGTGATATATGGTTCTTTCCAGTTCTGACTTTCTGAATCTGTGGTCTAATGTTCTTTGTTTTCATGTCTATTCTATCTTTACTCCTTTCAAACATTAAACACTCTTGGGCTTAAGCATGGGTGAGTATGGGGGAGAGATACAAAGTTGAGGTAAGACATATTCCTGCCCTCTTGAAGCTTATAGTTTAGTAGGAAATTTAAGGCACAAACACAGATAATTAGAATATACAATGTAAG